ACAAATGTGGCAACGGCTTTGATGATTGCAGCTGAGAGCGGCCACTTCCAAGTTGTGTCCTTGTTGCTGGAGGCAGGAGCTGAGAAAAATCTAGCAAGCACTAAGGGGGCAACGGCTTTGATGATTGCAGCTGAGAGCGGCCACATGGAAGTTGTGCGCGTGTTGCTGGAGGCCGGAGCTGACAAAGATGCAGCAAACACACACGGGGCAACCGCTTTGGTGATTGCAGCTGAGAGCGGCCACTTGGAAGTTGTGCGCTTGTTGCTAGAGGCTGGAGCTGACAAGGATGTAGCAAATGCAAATGGTGCAACGGCTTTGTTGCTTGCAGCCGAAAGTGGCCACATGGAAGTTGTGCGCCTGTTGCTTGAGACGGGAGCTGACAAAGATTCAGCAAAAAGAAGTAGGGCAACACCATTGCTTGTTGCAGCTGAGAAGGGCCACTTTGGAGTTGTGCGATTGTTGCTTGACGCCGGAGCTTCCAAAGATGTTAGCAACACATATGGTGCAACGGCTTTGATAATGGCAGCCGAAAGCGGCCACTTGGAAGTAGTGCGATTGTTGCTTCAGGCTGGAGCTGACAAAGATGTAGCAAACAGACTTGGCGCAACGGCTTTGATGATCGCAGCTGAGAGTGGTCACTTGGAAGTTGTGCGCTTGTTGCTTGAGGCTGGAGCTGACAAAGATGCAGCAAATAGAAGTAGGGCAACAGCTTTGCTTGTGGCAGCCGAGAGTGGCCACTTTGAAGTTGTGCAATTATTGCTGGAGGCAGGAGCTGACAAACATGCAGCAAACACAAATGGGGCAACGGCTTTGATGGTTGCCTCTGAGAGCGGCCACTTGGAAGTTGTGCGCTTGTTGCTGGAGGCGGGAGCTGACAAAGATGCAGCAAACACCAGCAGGGCAACCCCTTTGTTTGCTGCAGCCGAGAGTGGCCACTTGGAAGTTGTGCGATTGTTGCTGCAGGCTGGAGCTGACAAAGATGCAGCAAACACCGGCAGGGCAACCCCTTTGCTTGCTGCAGCCGAGAGTGGCCACTTGGAAGTTGTGCGCTTGTTGCTTCAGGCTGGAGCTGACAAAGATGCAACAACGACGGATGGGTCAAATGCTTTGCTTTTTGCAACCCAGAACGGCCACTTGGAAGCTGTACAATTGTTGCTCAATGCTGAAGTTGACACCAGCAACACCAAATTGGTCAACTCCGACAGCTCCTTTCATTGATGCAGCCCTACGCAACCACTTGAAAGTTGTGCGATGGTTGCTTCAGGCTGGAGCTGACAAAGATTCATCCTTCGCATCATATCGAACAACATATGAATTTGTTCACAAGCACCTGGGAGACCACCCAGTGACCTTTGGATCCCCTGGTTTGAGGTCACAAAACAGGCCTGTAAAAGGTTACATTTCGACTCCAAAAGGTTCTGGTATATGTTCAGGATTTGTTACTTGGGGGGTTGTTTCTAAGCCAGAACAAGTTGTTTCTGGTTGACTCGGGTGTGCCATCCAGAAACCTCAATCCTCTGAGCTTTTATTTAGCAAAACTACAGTGCTGTTAGGAGGTTTCTAGATGGCACAAACCATAGACAGGTGGGGGGGGGATATAAACCTCCTATATATATTGGGGATTGTACCATCTACGCTGAAACCACAATAATTCAAAACAAGGTGTGTCCACAAAAGGCTGAACGGTCGGTAACATATTCTCACAATGTTTGAGCTGCCGGCCTGCGACCCGGGCCCATCTAAACCATCATCCACTGGGCCCTGATGATTGGGGCATACACAACATTCAGAAGATCTAAACTCGTGAGGTAAACTGTTTTGTTTGTCAACTGCCCCATATATGTTTTTACATCTTCAGGCCTGGGGGGGTTGATAAGTCAACAGTCTATATGATTTGTTTTGACAAGAATTTGGGGTCCCAAGCGTTACATAACCCTTCCAAATCCATATGTAGTTCCAGAGTTCCCCATGTTTTGTTTACCCCAGAAGACCTTGCACTGCATATTGTCAATTTGACTACAGTCTTTGGAAGATTGGGTTTGAAGAGATAGCTGTCATTGTCATGTTGTGGTACCATTGGCTTTGAAGTGAAACATATTGGAATATTGGAATTGAAGAGATAGTTGTGGTACTATTGGCTTCCAAGTAGTACATTGTGTTTCCAAAATTGATACATGATACATAGTTCCAACATTTCCCTGAAACATGTGTTTATTTTTTTTTGGCATCGCTGACAACACACGCGGCATATCATCATCCGGCGCAGTTTGTCGACGTAGCAACAGAGTCATTGGGTTTGGTGTTTGGGGGCATTTGGATCGAACTGGCGACCGTGGAATGGCTAGATGTGCTATGCTATGCTGGATGAGAAATGGTCTGAAAGATCCATCTCACCCAGACGATCGGCGGCGCAGTTCGGCCTATACAAGACTCCAGGAGCCCGAACCAAACCCCCTAGTGGGCCCCTAGCTGGTGGTGTGGGGTGGTGAATGGTGTCGTTTGCTTCGCCGAAACCGACCGGTCGAAACGCTGCCTTTGAGGTCTCGTGGGAGCGGACGGGCGCGTCCTTCTTCTCCATGGGCGAGGGGACCTTGAAGGTGCCCATGGCCATGCATGCCCAGCACAGGAAGAAGCTGTGCCAGGTGGGACTTAGACTTGGAAGAAGAGTGGACGGTGGAGGGTGCCATGCTCTTTTGTAGAGCCCTGTGTGATTGCAGTAGATTGCAATACCATTGCCTTATCCTGGTTTGGATGTTGATGTCATGTTTTAGCCTGTGGGTGAATCCCCTTTTAAGAGAATGCTTGGTGAATCCCCTGTTCCTGGGCAGCACACTCAAGTAATGTGTTCTCGACCGATTTGCCAGGCCAGTGAACCAGCTGTTGATGGGCTTGGGGATGTGCTGGCATGTAAGGTTTTGGTTAGTTGAAGGCGTCAAAGCCGATGCTGTTCCTTTGTCAGTGCTTCCTGGTTTTCCGTTTCTGTCAGTGGATGCTGTTGGATGTGTGGAAGTTGGAGAGACTCCTGGTTGTGCAGATGATCAGGTGGTTTTGTATTTTCCATTATTTTCCCGAACTGTGTAAATCCCTGAAACCGGGACATATGTAAATTACTGTTTTCCCGGCTTCCGAAGCAGCAAATCCAAGGACTCCTTGGCAGAGTATATCAGGCGCCCCACATGGCCCATCAAAAACCCTAGTTTTCCTTAGCAAAAGCATGGTTTATGTATGGGCTCTATTTTTGAGAGGTTTTGTTCGTGCCGCTGGTCCTTTCTTTTCGGCCCTTTCCGGTCCCATCACACGGGGGTTCACCTTTCCTGCTCTGCTGCAGGCGCTGGCTGGCCGCGTGAGTGACCAGGCAATCATTCTGCTGCAGGGCGGAGAAGAGCTGAGCGTTTACGACACGGAGCGGGGGGGGTTCAACGCGCGTTGGATGATGGAGAGCGTACGTACGTGCATGCGTACGTGCGTTGATGGGATGGCGGGTATGGGGCATTGTGTGGGGATTTTCAGGTGGGTATGCGCGTGGCATGCTAATCATCCTACTCGTATTGTTTGTGCATCTCTACATGCATCCTCTTTATCAGACGGTTTCTCTTAAGGGGATCATCCAGGATTCGCTTGAAAGACTGGAAAGCCTGCAGAGTCATGTGAAGATATGGAGCCCCCCCGCTGCTGTAAGAGGTTCCTTGGGGGCTGTAAGATATTTTTTTTGCTGTACCTTTGACTCCATCCAAGAGGATTCGAGACAGTCCGATGCAAAGATGTATTTTTTGCATTGTTTGGAGGTTTCAATCACCGCCGGAAGTAGGACGTATGACATTTGCATGGAGGAAGCCACAGGAACAATGAACCTTGCAGCACTGAATCTGTGTACTTTGGTCATCCATGTTGCCCAAGAATGAGCATGCCTTTCCTCATGGTGGAGCTGAAGCTACCCTACTCACCTGCAGTTGGAGATGCACCGAAAGGTAGTTAGTTTGAAGAACACTATTCTATTTGTACTATACGTAGGCAAGATCTAGTCAAGCAGAGAAGTCACCATCCATTGTACCAGTTTCAGAACTCTTGGCTCAAGTCCCAAAGGCAACCTTTTCAGCAAAATCCACGTGAACCACTAGGGGCACACCGCAACCCAAACCTTTGCCCCCAGCCCCTCCTTGCAACCCAAAGTCCATGTGGGGTGCCTGTGAGGACACCAACTGGGACTTCAAACAGGAGTGTGGGTGGGAATGCTCAAATGGCCGTGCCGGTAGCTGCGCTGGATGGGAAATTATCAAGAAAGATCCATCTCCTTTTGTATAGGAAGATGGTCCTCCACGGTCTTTACCCTTAGGCCTCCAGTCGTACCGAACCTGAGAAGGTGGAACTGGGGTGGGTGCCAAAACGTCGGGTCCAGTCATACCTTCTCCTCAGGTTCGGTACGACTGGAGGTGTTTTTCGGGTTTGTGAAGGCTTCTAACATGTTTAACAAACCTCATAGACCCTGGTCGTACATCAACCTTAGCCTGGGCTTCTATCATGTTTCACGGGGGTGTTCACTCTTCACCGAGAAACCTGTCGACCGGACGATCCGCGAACTGGCGATCCGTTCCTTGGTTCCGGTCCAGGGAGGTCCGTACGAAGGACCAGAGTCCTTATAAACCTGACCCTTATAAGGGATACCGGGATACCAGACCCTTGTAAACCAGACCCTGAAAGAATGGACAGTGTTTAGATAAAGTCTAGTTTAGTTCTTCTTGATTTGACGAAACCACATTGTATCACCAGAGGTTCAAACCCAACAGGTTGCAAAGACTGAAACCGTAGACCGAAACCCGCAGAAGTGGGGGTGGTTATTTTTCCAGGAAAGTGTCTCCACTGGGATCCACGAAGTCATCGTTTCATTGGTCACGCAGGAGAGCAACTTCCAGTACTTGTTCGGTGTCAAAGAGCCTGGCTGCTTCGCTGCGTTGCGTGTGCGCGATGCGCACGCACTGCTGTTCATCCCTAGGAGTGCTGGGTTTGCATAGCATAGAGAGCGCTAGAGAGCGAGACGGCACACCAAAGCTTGTTTGCATGATGTGTTATTCATTCACATTATATAAGTGATTATGATTCCTTCTTTGTGCAATTGCACAAATGTTTTTTTTGTTTCACGTTTCATTGCCGCAAAAAAAAAGCTGTCACTGCTGTAGACCTCATTTAGTTCTCGTTCTTCGGTGCCGTTCAGCTGCAGCACGCGAGTTGTGGAGGATGGAGAAAGTCTACGAAGCCTGGTGTGGCCCCGTGAAGCCTCCTGCGTGGTTCCAACGCGCCTACGAGGTCGAGGTGCCACGGACAAGGTCGACATGAGCTTTGTTCGTCTTGTTGGGTGGCTATAGGACAGCAACGAGTTGTGGGATGACTGGGGAAGAGAGGAGTGAGTGGTGGAGGTTTCTATAGTTGATGGATGTTGATGGTGAAGAATGGTGAAGAGCTCATGTGATGGAAATTAACATGAAATAGCGACCTATCATGACCTATCTAAATGAGTTTGACAGTTTTTTTTTGATTTCCCCCAAGTGCAGCTTGGAGAAGCAGGTCTTGCGCTGCTTCGCCAGCTTGGTCTCCCATGTTGAGAAGTCGCCCAGCTTGGTATTCCCCGGTGACACGTTCACAGAGGAAGCAGGAAGCACCTCGAAACCAGGCGAAGTGGATAGAAGTGGAGCTTAGCACTGGGTGAAGCGGAGTACAAGAAACGCTCCGGTGAGACATTGAATTGAATAGTAGGGAGACCCCCAACCAATGGGTGCTTGGATGTTTTGGTCTATCCTACCAGGGGTCAAAGTGGGAGGTCTTCCTAGCTGAATACACATGCACCCAAATAAGCAGGCTGCACACGTGTGGAATGTCTTTGACTACCGTTGCTTCCTGTCACGAGGCAGATGTTTGAGGGCCCTATGAGTGGCCCTTTGATGTGGAGTCCATCAGGTCATTGTTGAGGTATAGTGCCCAGACACTCCATGGGACTGGCATACTTACCCACCTTGGTAAAGGTCCATGGGGCGGCATACATGGAGTGTTTGGGCTATTGGCTATTGGTACGTATACTGTAGTATTTCTGTGATAGCATTGCGTGGCATCTCCTTTTGGACGAGGCTGTAAAAACACCGCACCAATCACCCATGCAGCTTGATGTCGATCCGACAAAGCCTTCAGCTTGACCCTTCAGGCAGCCCATGTGGATGAGATGTCAGTGGTTTTGGAGAAGATGGGTGTCAAGGAGCTGGTAGCCTGTCAGGGCTGTCGCAGGCTTTTTGAGGGATTTCTGGTGGGACCCGGACTTCAGACACATGAACACGACGTGAACACTACTCTTCCCAGTGCAGCTTGAACGAAACCTTGGTTTACCAAGGTTGAGGAGCTTGGCAGGGAACCACTTACTGTTTTTCTTCAACAAATTTCCACAGATTGCCACTCACTTCACTCCCCAGAAGGTTCTCCAAGTTCCGGATGGAACGGTCGATGTTTCTCAGGGAACTTCCACAGTAAAACCAAGGAGGTGTACCAAGACGGTGCAAATACCAGGAGCCCGAACCAAACCATGAAAAACGTCGAGGCTTTCACATACCAAAACCATGTTTTTGTGCGTTCGGGAAAACCCGGTTTTTGATGGGCCATCTATATAAACCCTTGGTAGTATGTTGTGTTCCCCCAAGGTCGACCCAAAGCTTGTTCCCCCCATGTGTCCAGAATCGCAGATCTCGTTTGCTTGGGGTGGATGGGCATCGTTCGCCGTTCCTCGGCACCTTCGGCAGGAGCTGCTGGTGCTGCGTGGGGAGACGAACCGGGACAGTGGCTTGCAGCTGAGCGAGCCCTCCTTCGAGGGCAAGGCGGGCGGTGCTGGGAGTTCGGGATCACACCGTGCCACGGAGGATGTTTTTCGCGGAAGTGATGAGCACAGGTTGCATGGGGTCAGAAAACAAGGGGACGAACAAGTTTTCAGGGCAGGTGCAGGTGCAAGATGGAAGTTACTGAGAAGTTTCTGGTTCCTGGTTGGAGTTCCATTTACTTGGACCAGATGATCAGATACACTATTCTAATCTATTCTAATTCTGGCCATCAAAACAGGCATGGAACATGGTTTCTGTGTAGAGGTCTTCTTGAGATGTCTATTTTGATTGCCGGTACTGAAATGTTCAGTGACTATTCTAGTGAAAAAAATGTAAAAAAATGCCCTTTCCCCGAGGGACATCATATTTGTGTGCCACACGACGAAAAGTCATGCCCGTGCCTTTTCCCGGTTTGGACGGACATGCCGTCTCATTTTCATGCTCCAAAAATGCCTTGCTGTTCAAAGGCTGGGATTGTTATGATTTAGACTGCACTTGCAGTGAACAACTCGACCCTACAAGCCAGTTTCGTGTCAAAACTGACCAAGACGACTGGCACCCGTGACATCGCTGTCTTCCGTGGAACACCGCCCACGCTTCGGATTCTCAGCTGCTTCGGATCCTGTGCAACGAAGAGGCATCGCAACCAAGGTAGAGAACCCAAGATGTCGGATCAAAAGAAGACCCAGACACTCCATGTATGGTATATCATTGGGGTGGTGCCAGAGGGGTCAATGTAGGCATATATGGCAGTCCCATGGAGAGTCTGGGAGACCTGAATGACTTCCAAAACCGATGTGGGACATCGATGGACCCCGTCTGAGAGAGCGTGTTTGCGTGCACTCGTGACCTGCACTCCTTCCGACCGGTTTGGCCCAGCCGATTCACATTTGCCTAATAAGCGTTCGCGGATCCTCTGCGACGAAGAAACGATGGATGCATCAGGAGAAGTTCAGCATCAACAAGGAAGGCGTGTGTTGAGAGATGTGTCCTCAGTGGATGAGGGAGTGAACATGAGGGACTCTGAGGGGATAAGCACGTAGGTCACGGAGTGTCTTTCCTCAACTATATAGCATTAGGGAAGGAGAAACAATGATTGTAAGCCATATCGAGTAAACAATGGAACCTTTATGTATACAAGAATAAGGTTACCAACATGGTTTTAACAAGCCAGCTACAAGCTCACAGTCTTGCAGCCGGATTAGATGCTCAACTCCTCTCATCAGATGGTTCATCGTTTGTTTAGCCGGATTAGAGGTTGGCCACACGAGATGAAGGTGATACAACCTCTACTTGTTGGGGACTGGAGGTTCTGGTCGCATCAAGACTGGAGTTCCGTCCCGAACCTCTCTTTCGCGAAGGATCCCTAGGGCGACCCGACATCCTCAGAAGGTATAGAGACAGACTGTGGCGCCCACCTCAAAGATCCTCAAAGCACTTTCTCAAGAGGTACTGAAACCGCAGATCAACATGGACCCTGAAAAACCACTGGGTTCCCAGAGGAGAATTTTAGAGTCTTACAGGGGTCCATTCTTAAACCGGGGATCCATGATGATAGTTAGGGTGTAGCCCACCACCAGCAACAGTCGATAAAAAGAGTATATTTTTGAGATGAAAAGGCCTCTACTAACCATATCTAACCATCATCATCCACTGGGACCCTGGAAGGTTGGGATACATACCCCAAACGATCGTCAGACTCGTCATCCAGTTGAAGAAGCGTCTTCTGGATCTGCTCGGTTTCCGAATGAGTCTCCAGGCAGTCAAATCCTTTGGGACCAGCTCAACGAATGTCGCGTGGTCCGGACGCCTGTACCAGACGAATTGGACCGGTCACTCTTTACCTGTGCATGGGGCAAATGATTGTACATGGATTATTTGTTTAATGGTGAGACCCCCAACCAATGGGTTCAGCTGTCTTTTTCTTTCACATGTAAAAGCTGCTGACGGTTTTGAAGAGAAAGGGCATGATCATTGAACGCCTGCCATATTTGTCCGCAGATTTCCACGCCTTTTGGGTCGCACCCTGCAGCCGAGCTCGCACCCTGCGTGGTGGGCTCAAGGCCAGTGACGTGCACGGGCCGCCTGGCCCAGGCGGGCGCTTCATGGCCGAAAGAGCAGCCTGTTCAAGGGGGCGACGACCTGCCCATGGTGTAAAAGAGCAGCTCGGAATCAAAACATATCAAAACTATTGTCCTCGAAAAAAGGGATCCAGGTAAGTACCTTCTCAGAAGGTGTGCTCGCGCACCTGCGCTTGCGCACCACAAGCTGCTGCAAAGCCCTTTTGCGCCGAGTGTCTTCAATCATCACATTCGTAGAGGGTATGTGGATCCTGGGGGCCTCAAGGGTGGCGAGAATCATCTATACCCTAGGCTTCCAAGACCATTCAAAGAAAGGTTGACCGGGTTGCGTAGTGTAAAATCCTTAGTAAAACAATGGTGGTTCGGTAAAGGCCATCAAAACAATGGTTGTTGGAAGCCTAGGGTATAGTCTATAGTCTATAGTCTGGCATTGCTGATTACACTCCAAAGGAAGCAATTCTTGATAGAGTCACGCAGAGCAGTTGACTCTGTTTTTGGTGCCAAGCCCAAACGCTCCAAAAATGCATGTACACTCCCTGAAATAATCATGGTTACGTGGATGGCACCACCTGTTTGTAGAGGAAGATGGTCATCGGGGCCATCCACCTAACCATGATTCCTTTCAGGGAGTGTAGCCATGTGGATAGCCTAGATCCATCCAAAGTATCCTATAAGTCCCTAATGAAGATCGTTTCAAGGAGTGTATCATGTTCTTCCCCCGATCAATTCTCGATCCCAGGAACGCGGGTTCTCGGATGCGGCCGAGCAGCTCGAGCAGGTGAGACATGGACCCCTGTGTAACGGGACAACAAAATGCAGGGGAAAGGAAAAACACGATCAACGAGGGTCACCTGAGGTGTGCACATCATATGCAAGAGGCGAAGGTATGTTAGCCTATGGCCTATGAGTATGAGTTGTTGTTTGTGTGTGTGTGACTTCTAAGGGATATGCATGGGGCAATCATTGTATACCTGGATTCTCCAACTCCGCAAAAATAATATATGCCTTAACTGTGTTTTTGCAGATGAAAAGGCTGAACTTCCGCATATGTACAAGTCAGACACGTTTCTTCGGGACTTCTGGCGCCCGTGATCATAAGATATCATAAGAACTCGTAATGGTTTGAACGTTCATGCAGCGATGTTCATTAACATAGGTCTACCCGGTGAACAAGAAAATCACGCCGCAGATGGTCCAAAACAACAACATGATATGATGAGTAAATGGTGTTGTGGATGGAAAGGAGTGGCAAAGACCACCACTCGATCTTCTGTATCAAATCCAGGCTTAAAGCCATATGCTGCAAGCAGCAGGTGTTCACAATGTTTATGATATCCTCATTGATCCAAGACCTTTTTTGACTTGTAACCTTATAGTTACCATACCTGTCAAAGTAATTACTACAATCTTGCAAAAAAGGTATGTCCATGCCTGCCAAGACTAAGTGGGATTGAGTCAATGTATATAGTGTTGCATACATCTATGTGATGGTCAATATGGGAGTTGATCGAAAACCGCGTGTAAGGAGTTCTATATAAAACAGCCTTTCAGATGTTGTTAGAACCATCCGCGAAAGATTCGCGATGAGGTTCGCGAAAGTATCTTTTTTTCCGCGAAAGATTTATCGAAGGTCATCGCTTTCATACGTTTTCCTTTCTAAGGGACTGACAAAGAATAGAAATAGAAGGCAATCTTCCGGCAGAGCTGGTGGGCGGAAGTGTCCCCATATGTCACAGACTAACGAATTGAAGCCTCAATATTTCCGTGCCCAGCCCTGGCAGTGCGTAAAGGATTCTCCGATTCCTGTCCACACTGTCATAGACAAACAACCTGAGTAGGCGCAGCCCTGACAGTGAGGCAACGACCTACAGCTGCTCTGACGGGCTGTGCAGATGTTTGCATACGGCTTCCCCGGGAAAGCGCCAGTGAAATTTTGCGAAAGATCCGCGAAAGTTTCGCGAATGTGCCGCTAAAGTCCAGGTCCCCAGCTTGAGGCCCCCCCAACATTCCCCAAGCTGCATCACCCTGTGTTGGTAGCTGGCACGAGGATTGGGTTGAGTTGCGCCACAGATGCTGCAAGTGACCCTGAGTAGCTGTGGAAACATTCAACTGGTCATGCTGCAAGATGTCTGTCCCTATGACATGTACCGGCTCATGTTAGCTAGACATGGTTGTAGGACCATGCTTCGCGATGAGGCCGCGAAAGATCCGCGAAAGATATCTTTTTTTCCGCGAAGAATGGCCATTCCAGGATGAAAGAATATTGATCAACCACCATATGTTCATATAAATCGTTTGCCTGGATCATGCGTACCTTTTCCTTACGCAGGTGGTGTTGTGCCAGTTTTTTTTGACGGGAGCAAAAGGCGAGATCGGTGGCAAGAAGACTGATGGACACGGAATTGATCAGGATCCCTAGGGCTCCAGTCGTACCTCCCCAGGTTCGGTATGACTGGACCCGACGTTTTGGCACCCACCCCAGTCCCGTCCCACCTCAGGTTCGTACGACGGGTGTCGCCCAAACGGGGATGTGGGCTCGTGTGCAAAGGTCCCGACCCAACGTTGGCCACGTGTGGATTGACTGCCAGCGTCGATCGCATCGCAAGCAGCCGCAAGTAGCTGTAGCAGCCCAGGCAAGGGTTGTTGATACACCTCCCCTGTCCATTTGCTTACCCAAGACCGAACTGGATGGTGCTGTGAGTTGTAATCAGGACTCCCAGGTTTCAACTGTTGCGACACACCGAAACTCATCCTTTCGACCGACAGGTGCTCCAGTTCTCGATCCAGGTCGAGAACACGGGAGGTGCGTATAGGAAAGACAGAATCACAGGTGGCAGCTAAAAGAGAGGGATGCATGTCGACAAGTCGACTATGTTCTGCAGCTGTGCTGTCCGAACAACCCGTTTGGTCAAAGGGCTAAAAGAGGGATTTGCCAGGTGGCCAAGATGAAGCAGCTGATCGACGAACTGAAAGCTAAGAAACACCACCTTCGAAGAGAGTATAGAGCTGCGTCACAATCTCTGGCAGACAAGTCGAGAGACTGGGCGATGCATTCAGAGATGTTTTTTAGATCATTTTTGGGGTTGTCCTTTTGGATTGTTGACACCCATGTTTAAACTCAAGTCTTGATTGTTATGTTCAAAATTCCTCTCAGACCAGGAGAATGCCAACGTCTCACAAAGGATTTGTCTGCGGCTCACAAGCAGATTCACAAGCTCAGGAGGCAGTTGGCTCAAAAGCACATCTTCCACAACAGCGCGTGTTGGCAGTATTGGGACAACGAACACTGGAATGATGTGCCGCGTGATGGAAGTATGCAGATGCAAGAGGCTTACTTGTTTTATCTTGACAACCCCGAAGCAAATCGCTGGGCCAGAATCAAATCTGTTGGCGTAGAGCGCCTAGTTGACTTCGAAGCCATGACTCAAGAGCGATGTGATACGAAAAGGCGTCGCTCCATTCGCATTTTGCCTGAAGTGCCGAAGCAGTGGGAAAGTCCTCCAAGTCGGTTGTTTCTACAAGGTGATACTCCTTTTAAAGTCCAGGTGATAGAACCACACGTTCTCCGTCAGGTTCAGAAAATTCTGGCATTGACTGGCCATGCGAGCTCGCAGAAATGTTCTTGCATGCGGACTGCAACAGTCCAATCAGTGCATCGCATCGAACATTTGAGACTCTGGCGGGCATACAGAACAAGACGTGAAGCTTTGAAAGAGCAGAACAAGAGTTTCAATGTGCGAGTCACACCTGCAGCTTTGCAATTACATCTTTTGGCTTCTGAGAAGGCAAATGACGTCATGACAAGAAGCCAACAAGTGCTTGACGGGGGTGAGCCTTTGGAATTGGATGTGGATGAGAAAATTCTTTTGCACGGCACAAGTTTGGAGAACGCACGCTCGATTGTTCGAAACGGTTTTGACCATCGGACATGTTCTGGCAGCAGCATGTATGGTGATGGAGTCTACTTCGCATCTGCTGCATGCAAATCCAACCAATACTCAAAGGAGAAAGACAATGTAAAGACTTTGATCATCGCCCGTGTAACACTTGGCGATGCATACCACGCAAAGAAAACGCTATATGAAGAACGCAGGCCGCCAGTGAGAAGCAAGTTGGGTAGCACCTATGACTCCGTTGTTGTGAACCCTGGTCCTATCGCGGGACACCACCAGTCACAACAGTTCCATCAGGAGTTTGTGATTTTCGACAGGGAGCAGGCCTATCCTTTTTATGTGGTTAAGTATTGCTTGTGACTCTGCAGAGCCGGCTAAGTCGGCAGAAGACTTTGAAAAGGACTGTGCTGCGCTGCTGCGAGTTGCACGCTGCCTCCATTGATTTGAACTCCAACGGATCAGCCATATTGAGGGTCAAGCAGTGCACCGAATTGGTTGAGATTCCAGTCGCATGGAATGGGGTGCTTCTCGGTTTGATGGAACCCCCCCCAAGTTCCCAGACACTCGTATTGTACTGCATGGCGAAATCCGACACATTGACCAGGCCCTTCCCAGTGACCTAACTTGATATCCCAGTTGCTGAAATCACGAAACGGCCTTAGTCTTGGTCACTTACCAATCCGTGAAGAGGTCACGAACGGCTCAGGTCCTGGGACATCCTGGGACCCTTTTATTTCAATCAAGCACCCCCAATGGTGTAGGCTCCTTACCGGTGAATCGACGGTCGTCGTGATCGCTGCACTCGCTTCGCCGGGTGGCGCCCGTGGAGCAGCTTCTGGAGGAAGACTGTTTTTTTTCGGAAGGCCAGCCACTTGCAATGCAAGGTACCTTATAGGGAACTGGATGGTCGACTCAACATCCTATCAACCGTCCTGGGTCTCTTCGGTCTTGCATGTAAAATCCCAAACACTCCATGGGACTGGCAGATTTACCTACGTTGGAGTGGAGTGGTTTAGGGGTCATTGTATGTAAAATATGCCAGTCCCATTAGTCGTGTCTGGGAATCATCGGTCTGATCATCGTCAGTCTGTTTGGCCTTGCATTTTCTCCAATCCACGCAGACTGGTGAGGGGCAGACTGGTGACTGCCGCCCCAGATCCGTGGAGCTACCCAAGCACATCCTCAGAAGGGTAGACGTGGGGATTGGAGTTGTTTGTTTCAACAAATGAGTTTTGGGATGCTATCTCCCAGAATCATCCAGAAGCCTAGAACCATAGATTTGTTCGGATTTGTCACTGTTCCTATTGTATTATACGTATATTATATAACTACTCAATCAATCAATATCAATACTCGTGAAGCTCCAACTTCAAAACCCCAAGGAATCCGTCGACTTTGTTCCATTGCCGCTACTAGCTATGATTGAATTGTCAAATCTTCCGGCCATGCCGTATTCACTCAGATCAACACCCCATCTACATAGCAAGATCCGAGTCCAGTGCTGATTGCACAAGGTCAAAGATGAAGAAGAACTCAAGCTCATGCAGTGTCTTGGTAGCACATGTTAGGACCCTCTTCGGAACTTTGAGGTGTGCTGGACATATGACAAACAAGACAAGCTGCACCTCCTCGGAGACATCACAAAACTTTGTTGTGCGAGTGCGAAGTGGTAACAAAATAATTGCCCAGCACTCTGCAGCAATGCCCCTAAGTTTCCTCAGCTCCTTGGATTGGTCTCGAACTACTTGTGTATTTTGGCAGCTAAGAAACGCTCAACTTAGGCGTCGCAATGACCTTTCAGCCACTCAAATGTTAAGCTGCAAGTGTATAAATTTTTGTTACAGCTGTATATTCAGTTGGGCACATCCTGCATCCCAAGAGCGTGTGGTTTGATGTTGTTTGTCTATAGGCAATAAGCACCCTGCAAACAGTCTTTGCTATGCTGCACTCACAGCAAGACATGCGTTACGAGTCCGCCAAATGCATGTCAGGCTTGGCCAGATCAACCATCTACGGGTCCCCACGAAAACCATGCACCGCTACGCACCACGTTGGGGCCGAAGACCGGACACCGGGCGACCTGTCCTGACCTCTGAGGTGGGTGAATGACGTGTCCTCGAAGGCGCATATTGAGACCTGGTAAGATCGGAATCAGATCGGCCAGACCTGATGGATGTAGACAACGTGGCACAAGTGGACCCCCCAAGTTAGATGGTGGTTTTGGTGCACCCGCCATTTTTAAGGTTTTGTGCCATCGAACCTCTAGACCAGTCTAACCGATTCCATCTGAAGTGTGGATCACTTTGTTTTGTGCCCAGATGATCCATGGTGACGTAAATATGACCTACATTCACCAGCAAACCACCAGTCATGTAGACCATCCCTAGGCCTCCAGTCGTACCTAACCTGAGAAGCTGGGACTGGGGGTGGGTGCCAAAACGTCGGGTCCAGTCATACCGAACCTGAGGAGGTAACCTCCTGGAGGCGTAGACCCGTCTTTGTGCCACCATGCTTCGTGCATCGGATGACCGGAGTCCACGGAGTCCACGACAAAAACGCGGAACAACGGCGCGGATCGGATTGGGCCGTTTGGATGTGTGGCGTTTCACCGGTGAATCGGTGAATTGGTGAAATGGAATGGATCAGGGGATCTTGCGGAGTGGCAAACATGGCTTGTCCGAGGGATTCGGGGCGAAGCCGACATCTTTTGCTTGAGGGATTGTGGGTTTACATGTGTGGCTTGAATGGGTGAATCACCGGTTTATTTTGGGGTGAATGCCTATGGGGAAGATGACATTGATGCGTGCCATGCCGCTTGATCTACGTCCAAGGAAACCATGCGTCAGATGCGTGCCATGCAGCGAGAGCACCTGGCTGAGGCGCAGATGGTTCGGTACGCGGAGTCGAAGAGGGTTGCTGAGGAGGTTTGCGAGTAGAGTCCGGTACCAGTAGCTTTACTAACTTTACTATAGAGTCCGGTGGCCTGGATGGAGGTAACTAGAAAGGTAGAGCTCGCGAACTGAGTCTGAGGTAGGTTATGAAATACTAGAGCTCAATTGGCCTAGATGAAGGTACATCCCCATCAGAACTGTTGGCTCAGTCTTACCAGTAGCTTTCTTAGAGCTCAATGGCCTGGATGAAGGTAACTCTACACCAGTACAGAAATTCCTCTATGTCTAGGTGCCCAGTCCAAGCGCTGTGAGCATTCTGCACCATCCTCCTACATCGGACCTGCACCTGGGTCGTGACCCAGCTTGGCCCTGTCGCGAACGCCCGGTCCACCGGTCCACCACAATCGGAAGGCGGCGTGGCGTTTCGGGCGTTTCGCGTTCAACGCGGTCTCCGGGTGTGAAGATGACAGCGGCATGTGGTTCACGGTTTGGTTTCTGCACAGCATGTCTGGAAGAATTGGAGACCCCAAGCGCCTCCAATCCCTGAGGCAAGCTTCAAATACCAGGCAGGACAGGGCGGAGTGGCGGAGTGGCTGTTGCCACTAGTTATGTGGGTGGGCTGTAAACGCTTGGGAACATTGGTGGGAAAGTGTTTGCAGATGTTATCGGAATTTGTTGCTTGTCGCACCAGGGATACCTGCAGACAACAGGTGAGCGTTGCCTTGGGCATTTCTCTTTTCATTGTCAGCGGGCAAGCCAGCTTTCGTTTTTTTTGGCCAAATACCATGGTATTTCAGTTGTGCATATGTCGAAAATGCCTTCATGACGTACGCAGAAGTACACCTAAGTCTAAAATTGATTATGGAAGTATGATGCTTTTACTGAAGGTTAATAATGTTGTCAATGCTGCGTTTGACATCATGATAACAAAGTGAGTCATGTTGTTTCTTGGCTAGGTTTGTTCCAGCAGCCACAACCGGTTGTGGGGTCCCAGTACGTGCTCAATAACGACTGAAATTTGTTTTTCCAGCTCAGCGAAAGTGCCTATTGGAGGATAGAGGTGACCATTATCCACGCACTTAGAGACTAAAAAACACCCCGACATGTGACTCCTGGTCTTGTTTCGACCTATCGATGTTTGTTACTCACTGTGTGCACAAAAGCTTCACAGGCTGCGCTGCGGGGTTGCTTCCGTGTGGGCTATAGCTGTGCCATGGCAGGACATGAACCAGGGCATCCCCATGGTAGTGAGCGAAGTGAACGGCCTGAAGTGGTCCACAGCAACTTCACCCCCCCGGATTTTGCATGGTTTTACCATCCATGTTTCCTTGCAGGGTTGAACACTGAACATTGAGTAGTGTCAGGGTGTTGGCAGTGACATGGTTGCTGGGTGTTTCTGAGGGCATCGGCATCACTTGCCCATCCCCAGGTCCAACTGACCAACCCCCCTGGGAGTGATAAAAAGTGGACATGCAGCGGATTCTGCTTCAGGTTAGGAAGGGGACACGTCAGACCGTCGATCATTTTGGTAGACCATGGCTTCATTATTAGTACCCCTTTCGGAGGAGGAGGACTTCTGAAACGACATCCTGATTGACCCTCGTTGACGGCTCCGGCTGTTCAAGGGAGGAAGCCTGGTTGACACTACAGGTAAAAGCCCATAATTTAGACTATTTTTTGGAGCCCTCTCTCCCCCTTCCCTACTTAATCAAGTAGGCGCCTCCAAACTTCCTGCAATGGCCTCCTACTCCCTGAATCTTCCCAACCGAACGACCGATCCACACCGATCCCCTGGTTGCTTCGCGGCCTGGAAGAGGTGACTCCAAAGTGTCACTGGGAAGATCCCGGTCGATGTGTGCTGACAGGGCCAGGTACCCGAGATGCGGACCTCAGGTACCCTACTGTGTTCATACTAAAGACACTACCCCAGACACTCCATGTATGCCGTATATGCCTACATTGGGGTGGTTTGAGGGAATCAATGTAGGCATATATGCTATACATGGAGTGTCTGGGTACTCAATGTGTGTGTTTTTTTTTCCAAACCCGATCTTTCTCCTGAAGACTGGAGCTGGATTCCCCGAGCTTCACCCCGGCTTCACCCGTCGATATCCGGCCCATTGCGCCCATGTGTCCCAGGCATTTGTGGATCTGGCCGCAGTGACTTGGTCTCGATCTTCACGTAGCCGTGAGGGGCTGTGAGGTGCTATTCCTACTCGACGCCATCGGGTCCAGAAGCTGATGGTAACATGTCCTGGTGTTGCTAAATGAAGGTGATTCGGTCTTTTCACGAACTGGATGAATCCCCGGAAACTGGGGATGTTGTGACACCAGCTTCCTTAAGCAAATCCAAGGTGTGGAAATATCGAGTGGGTTGTAATTTCTGGGCTCCAACAAGGCACATCCTCTACCTGTTTGGGCTCCAGGAGGTTACCTCCTCAGGTTCGGTATGACTGGACCCTCCTGGCACCCGGGCCCCCCAAACACCTAAGAAAGAAGGTACGACTGGAGCCCTAGGTCTATAGTTCTATCATGTTCTATCGAGTTCGACCCCCTCTTGCCACCTAGTCCCCACCTTCAACGGAATCGTTGCTTCCCCCCTACACCCTGAGATCGCAATCACTCGAAATCTTCGCTTCGCTGTGCCTATATATACAATCCGGGCCACCGTGACAGACACTGGTGTCACGGGAAGTGGCCTCAAGGCACGGGCTTCTCTTTTGGTGATGGCACCTGGGCCATTGGATACGGGCCGACCCAGCAAATAGAGGTGCTCATCCACCCAAGACAAGATCTTGCTTCAGGATCTTCAGGGTGCAAAAACATGCACTAAAATCTAAAAAGACCATGAACATAATCAGTTGTGGTTTTTGTTTTGGGGTGCAGTACCGGTGAGGATCGGACCCATGTTCTTCCAACTCCTTCTCATCCCCCCCCTCCGGCCATTCTCCGAGGAAATGCCATTCTCCACTACGGCCACCCCGCCGAGCCCAACAGTGAGCAAGTGGCGCATGACAGTTTGCGGCTCCTGGACATGGGCGGCTTGATGCGGCGAAAGGTCTGACCAAAACAAGCCATGGTGGATCGGTGGTAAAGAGGACTCTAGTTGTTGACTACTCCCGTCCTACGCCTCCAGTCGGACCTTCTTAGAAGGTGGGACTGGGGTGGGTGCCAGGAGTACCTTCCTTTCAGGAGGTACGACTGGAGCGCTATAGGGTACTGTACATTGTACATATAGGAAGGAGGAAGGAGGTCCGAAGTTGGAAAGGAAAGCACCTCAGACCTCCAAACGTCATCAACCCCATCCTCGGCTACACCGGCCGTTCGACGTAGCCGAGGCGCTGAGTACCACGGCTACACCTCTGACGTCACGTGCACCTTCCCCGTGTGCGGAGCGCTCGGCCGGTGCTCAGCAGCAGCGGAGCTTGAGATGGACCTGTTTGGGATTGGTATATGAAAGCTAAGCTAAGCATTGGGGCTTAGAGAAGAGGGGTCACTTGATCGGCAAGTAGTCCAGTCCCATTAGTTGTGTTTGGGTAGACTCTTGACATCTCTTCACTCTTAGATAAACAATAGCTCCCCCAAACATGGGTTGAACAACCTCTTCCTTCCTATGGTGGAGTTATGGATCAGGAGTTCTTCCCATTGGTGCTTTTGTTTTGACAGTACAACAATTTAAGATACCCATAGGGTCCAGGTACCTCCTGAGGATGGTCTTGGAGGTGAAAGTACTTCCAGAGAATGGTCTTGGGGGGTCAAAGGACATCCTCAGGATGGTCCTGGACCCTTAGGGATAGTTCAATGCGGATTCACAGAGTGTAATGGTTGTGTGGCCTTTCGACCTAGAACGCCCCAGAAAAAAACGACTATAGACATGTTCCTGTGGAACTCAGTACCACACACACCGTTCCACAGTATTTACTTGCAGCTTGGACACCAATCGAATACTCGGGTGTGGTTCCTCCTCCGTGTCACAAACACAAAGTGCAAGCAAACCCCGTTTACAGGGAAAGTAGGGTGCCTGGTAACCAAGTTCCACTGCCGTGTTGAACGAAACCAGTGAAACATCATTAAAGAAAGACACTGAGGGAACAGGAAGGGGTGCGAGCGGCATACGAGGACTTCCCATTTGAAGCCACCGACAGCCAATCACTTGGTTGCCAAGCTCATCACTTGAAGTGCATGATCTACAACGAAGCTGGTGATCACCTAGTAGGACAACCAGACTGATATCCAGTTACACTCTATAGCTGCAGCTCATTCAGTTACCATCCAACTCCACTTCTTCCACCCTTCGCCACGCTTCACACGCTCCGCGTCTCGCCCCGCGTCTCACGGCGCTTCGCCTCCTAGGTCCGGGCACTTCACGGCGGCCCAACGCACCGTCTACGAGGCGCGTGGCGGGGAGCGGAGCGCTGTGTTTCGCGTTTCGGTACGAATCGAGCCCGTGTACACTGGGTGCGGCGTGGCGCGCTGCATGGGAAAAAGAAGGATCTGCCAGGCGCCAAGTCTGGTGTTTTGACGATGTGTTCCGACATGTTTTGACATAGCTCATGGGATTTCATGGGAAAAAAGAGAGCGACATAGGCCATGGGCCATGTCAATGACCCTGAAAGTAGAGATGATCTTGCAGGTTTGCATTGGACGCTGGTGAGTTTTGTTCCGAATGTTCCCTTCAGCAAATTGCTCTTTGGGATAGTTTAGACCCTACACCTCCAGTCCCACCTTCTCAGGTTAGGTACGACTGGAGGCCAAACGGGAGAGAGACTTGAAGTCGGCCACACAGGTGAGCCCAGACAGGATCGGAGAGATCCTGTGGAGCGCACCGTCGTCTGGCACTTTCGTCAAGCAGCACCGTTCTTCCGTCAAGCAGCACCGTTCACCCAGTGCCTTTTGCTTCAAGGGTGGGAATATGGTGAGGTCTAGTGGGATGAGGCAACCGGAGCCTTTTTCGACGCTTGGTGCCTTCTGCTCCAAATAGCCTAGCTTGAACGCGTATCCGACACGGCGTTCGCTCGTGAAACGCGTCCCGGGTCCGCTCCTGAGGACCTGAACAAACCTCGTTCAGCCAACGGAAACGCGTCCGCGGCAGATGTTGGATCGCTGTCGCTGCTGGAAAAACCGAACGACCCGTTCACCGTGTGGCAAAAAAATGCATGAAACATGACAATGAGCTTGCACAATTCACATTGATCATATATGGGATCTATATAGACTAGCTGTCAACCTACGTGATGGGTTTTCTTCTTTGGATTGGATATGAAACATAGGGAGACTGTCCCGAACGTGAGAAATATGCATCTTCAGACGCCACCTTTTGGACTGGTTTGGCCAGGGGCGATCGAGGACCCCCCCCCGGGACTCCTGTGCATACGAAACGTGTGTCTCGGCCCCCGGTGATGCGGGGGCAGGCCACGCGAAAACGCGAAAACCGCGAAAACGCGAAAACGGCGAAAACGGGAAAACGGCGGAAACAAAGTGCTTGGATTTGACACAGCTCACGGTTTTCTAGAACACCGCATCGGCGCGAAAACGGCGAAAACGCGAAAACGGCGAAAACGGCGAAAACGCGAAAACGGCGAAAACGGCGAAAACGGGAAAACGGCGAGTAGTTGGGGAAGAGTGCCAAGTATTTGCAAAAGACCAGTTTCAGAAGAATGGAGAGTTGCAGAATAGGACTTTGTTCCTTTGATAATAAGCCTCAGTAGCACGCAAAAAAGGAGAGTGTTGAAAACGTTAAACTGAGAACTAGACGACGGTTGGCCCGAGAGCGAGACATGTAATTGTCCAGCACTGTCGAAAAGATGTATAGAAAGAGAGAAAGAGAGGGTGGATGTGAAGGAGTGATAGTGTGGATGCGCAGGTGCAATATAGATTCTGTAGATGTATGGAGGTGGAGGTAGATCTGTGGATGTGAGCGTGCAAAGATGTAAATGCACAGAGACGAGAGAAAAGATATGTAGAAAGAAAGAAAGACAGGACAGATGTGAAGGAGCGACAGTGTGGATGTACAGATGTGATATAGATGTGCAGATGTGTGGGTGTGGTGCGGTGGAGAGGTAGATCTGCGGATGTGAGCGTGTGACGGTGTATATGTAGAGAGGTGAGGGGGTGTATGACGTAGATGCGTCGATGCAACGGCTGCGCAACGTCAACCTTAGCTGTGCAAGTACAATGCTGAAGAGGTTCAAATAGAACTGAAGAACGTACATTTCACACTGAAGTTTCCACGAGCAGGGCGACCTGAGAGTAAACGACGTGACGATCATGACAAGCGACTCGTGTATTCCAAGCGAACATCGTTTGTCATGAAGGTGTGAAGTACACACATACTAACGTCACGATGACTACTCTTTTGTGGCAGCCACTTATGAGTAAGCAAAGTAGCTAAAATTTGTCAACCTCTCAAGAGAGCCGGGTGGCGCCAGAGATGACTCAGCCGCGAGAGATGACTCATCCGCGTACTAAAGTTGTACTACAAAGTCGCCAGTTCTCAGCTTCCAGCTCCCCAGATACTCCGCGTCACAGCTTGCTCCGCGTACTAAAGTTGTACTACCAAGTCGCCAGTTCTCATCTTCTAGCTCCCCAGATGCTCCGCGTACTAAAGTTGCACTACAAAGTCGCCAGTTCTCATTTTCCAGCTCCCCAGATACTCCGCGTACTAAAGTTGTACTACAATGTCGTGCTTAAGACTCCACAGATTGCTCCGCGTACTAAAAAGTTGTACTACAAAGTCGCCAGTTCGCATCTTCCAGCTCTCAGCTTCCAGCTCCTGCGATACTCCGCGTACTGAAGTTCTACTCGAAAGTCGCCAGTTCTCAGCTCCACAGATTGCTCCGCGCACTGAAGTTGTACTACAAAGTCCACAGTCCTGCAGAGGGTTGCGCCGGACAAACACAAATCGCACTCTCACCTGCATTTCGCGCACTCGACACGCACGATCTCCGCAGAGGGTTGTCCCGGACTGGGACAAATCGCACTCTCGCCTGCATTTCGCGCATTCGACACGCACGATCTCCGCAGAGGGTTGTCCCGGACCAGGTCAAATCGCACTCGCGCCTGCATTTCGCGCACGAACTAACTTAGAGTCCATCGCAAGCCCTTGGTTTCCAATCTGTCCTTGCGTCGCAAGAGCTCGTCGATTCCGCGCAAGGAGAGCCATGAGGCATGCCACGGCTCTTCAGTTTGATGGAGAGGAATGGACGTCGTCTGATTCTTGTTTTTCTTTCATCCCTGGGTACCCTCTGGATAGACTTGGTCACGTTATCTGGTCGTTCATGCGTAGTGCCTGTGATGAGGTGATATTCCTTTTGGATTGGAGATTAAGATCATTCTGATTCACTGACCTATTCACTAAGATTCGTGAATTGAACTTAAACTTCAACCGTTGAGATTTAGTGCACAACTAAGGAGCATAATTGAAAACCCTCGAAAGTGGCGAAGACCAAGAAAACAACGACTGCGCGAAGCCGACACAAACGGCGAAAACTACGAAAATGGCGAAGACGACAAAAATGCGCAAACGGGCGAAAACGGCGAAAGCGACGAAAGCGGCGAAAACGGCGAAAACGGCGAAAACGCGAAAACGGCGAAAACGCGAAAACGGCGAAAACGCGAAAACGGCGAAAACGGCTAAAACGGGAAAACGGCGAGAACGACGAAAACCGTTTTCTTGGTTTTCTCGTTTTGCCGGTTTTCTTGGTTGTGGTTTTCACGCTCAAAGGCAAGACAAGCAAGAAGACGTAAGCAAACTGGAAAAAGCTTCCACACGGGAAAACGCGAAAACGGTTTTCTCGGTTTTCTCGGTTTTCTCGGTTTTCTGGTTTTCTCAGTTTTCTCGGTTTTCTCGGTTTTGTCGTCGCATCGCGCGGGCCACGACGCAGGTTTTGTGTTCTTAGCGGGACTCCCCCCCTTATTAAAACATAACTCAGAAAATCCAGTTACCACGCTAGGTGGTAACCAGGTGTTCCAAAGACTAAAACCATAGACCGAACGAATCCCTGGTTCCTTATAGTATGTGGTTTGCCTGGGATCCACTGGGTAATCCACGCCCCCCCATCCCATCCATACCCAGACACGACCCGTCTGGGACTGTCATAGGACTGCCGCCCCATGCATTGACCCCGAAATGGCACCACACCAACTGATCGGTAAATATGCCAGTCCCATGGAGCGTCTGGGATACATATCCATGTGAGGATTGGACCAAATCTATTCCTACAGGTCAGTTGGACCTCATGAAGTATTGGCATTGGTCATACAAAAACACCATTTAATAGGAAGCAAGTTTGACCAGTATTTTTCTGGGTCAGACTGGTAGGGTATGGGTTTCAGTCGCATAGTTGATGCATGGAAAATCCGATCACCCGCAGCCGCAAAAGAATTCTGCCCTCCCCTGACCCCTTTTTTTTTCGGTCCTCGGGTCGCCACAAACTTTGGTCCGGTGTCCGCCTCCTCATCTCCTCCATCCATGTCCTTCACTCCATGTCCTACAGGAAAACAGCCGAAGGAGGCATGCCTCATACCCCACCATCCAGCGGACCCCTTATCCCGATGGAACACCGCCTCGCACACCGAGCTCCGCCTTTCGCTCGCGTCGCGCACCGAGCTCTCCGCGGAGGCGGTTTGGGAGGCGGTCCTGGCGGTGGAACGGCGCTTGCGGCCCGGGGTCTCCTACAAGGACCGACCGAAAAGCCGTGTGCCGCGGCGTTGAAGAGATGGATCGACGTGGGGATCCGTATTCCTATAGAGATCCATGTGTGATTCATTTCAGCAAGCCTGCTAGAAGAACCATCTTCCCGAGCTTGGCTGCTTCTTTCTCTTTTGACGGCCTTCGTTTTGGAATCCTTTTCGGACCCCTCAAGCTGTTGGCTCAAGCTGACTCCTCTTGCTTCTGACATCTGAAGGATGCAGGTTACGGCTTTGTCCGGCGCCACCGTTGCGCAGCTGGATGAGGATGAGTTGCGTGGCATGGAGGAAAGTGGGAAATCCATTCGGGATCTAAAGAAGCTCCTTTCAGCTCAGCTTGGGTGCTCCAGGTTTCAGCAAAGACTCTTGAGTGACGAACTCGGAGAACTGCAGGACGACATGCCCTTAAGACCACTGCCTAGTGTGCGGCTGGCCATCCTGCCCCTATGCGCCTATGATGAGATCATGGAGGAAGAACTGCTTCGCCGCTGTGAGGGCAATGAGGTGGGTGAGGTTGAACGACTGCTTCAAAGACCTCAAGATCCAAACCGGGGAGGATTGTTCCTTGCAGCCGCGAATGGCCACTTGGACGTCGTGCGCTTGCTGCTGGAGGCTGGAGCTGACAAGGATGTAGCAAATGCAAATGGGGCAACGGCTTTGATCATTGCAGCTGAGAGCGGCCACTTGGAACTTGTGCGATTTCTCCTTGAGGCTGGAGCCAGCAAAGATGTAACAAACATGAATGTGGCAACAGCATTGATCATTGCAGCTGAGCGCAGCCACTTTGAAGTTGTACAGTTGTTGCTCGACGCTGGAGCTGACAAAGAGGTAGCAAACACAAATGGGGCTACGGCTTTGATGATTGGAGCTGAGAGCGGCCACTTGGAAGTTGTGCGATCGTTGCTCGAAGCTGGAGCTAACAAAGATACAACAAATACTGTAGGGGCAACTGCTTTGATAATGGCAGCTGAGAGTGGCCACTTGGAAGTTGTGCGACTGTTGCTGGGGGCAGGAGCTGACAAAGATGTAGCAAACACATATGGCGCAACGGCTTTGATGATTGCATCTGAGAGCGGCCACTTGGAAGTTGTGCGCTTGTTGCTGAATGCTGGA